GTGCCAGGCCTCCAGGAATACGACGAGTTGGACACGCCTCGGTCGAGGATTTATCCTTCAACAACTGAGGGTCACCATGTTCTAAGCGCAGGACAGGTCACACCTGACCCACGAGTGAAGGCCTAAGAAAGGCAAAATTCACTTGTAGGGAAAACGGCTCTTGAAAAGCTTTGAACTTGAAGCCCTTTTGACCACGAGTATGTGTTTGACTTCTAAGATCTCACTTTCGCCATTTGGATCCTTAGAGTCTCGGAAGTAACGGTGCACAGCCCCCCCTGTTCAGAGCGATCCTGCGCCCGTGTCCACTGCAGGGACCCTCGGCTGGTCGCTCCCATCTCAGCGGCCAAAGGACCCCAATTTGCTGTCACCTGTCTTCCTTCACAGAGGAGATGGAAAGCAGGTTGGCGGGGGGCTGGGTCCCTCTCCTCCTGACCTCACCCCTGTTTGTTCCCTGTACGTCAGGATGAGGTCTCCACGGCCATTTTCACCCTACTTTTACAGTCTTCTGAACTGGATTAATGGAGTCATTTAAATACAATCCTAAACATTACCCATCAACTCAACATCCATCACCGATGGAAACGCCCACACATTTTCCCTGGGGCCCGGAGGGCGCCCCACCCACCATCCGGGCCATGGTTTTGCTTCCGGACATGAAGGGTCAGGGGTATCGGCTGTACAGTGAGTGTCCACGCATCTTCCACGCCCAAACAAAGAGAACATGGTTCTGGCCGGGTTTACAGATTTTTCCTATGGAGGTGAAGTCTCTCTCTGACATCATAATCCTCATTGTGACAAGAGAGATGGCGCTCCTCCCCCCACTCCCCTTTATGACTCAGAGAAGATCCCAACCTCCGGCAGCTTCTGGCAGACAGCCCATCAGGCGCTGGGAAAGCAGCAATGCTCAAACCAGTCCTTGCCCCCAAAGAGGCGGACGGCAAACAAACCAACGAGAAAAAATACAGGAAGGTCATGGCCATGGGCTCCGTGAAGGAAAGCCAAGCAGATAAGCGGGGTGCAGAGTGGTGACGGTAGGGGTGCTTCATTTAAACTGGGGACACTGGAGCCAAGAGTGGAAGAAAGCGAGGGGTGAGCTGTGTGGGAGAAGAGACAGCCTCAGGGTGCTGCTCTGGGGGCAGGAGCCCCGGGCAGGTCTGGGGATCTCCGAGGTTGTCCCCTCTTCTGGTCCCCCGACCGGTTACTCTGTCCTGCGGGCACAGGCAGTGTGCATTGTCACAGAGGAACTCGGGCTGGGTGGCCTCGGAAAACATGGCTGGCTGTACTCAGCCGCTTCCACTGGTGTCCGTGCTGGAGAAGCAGTGTGGACCTGGCACCGTGGAGGCACCATCAGAGGACAGCCGGCTCAGTGAGAGCAGCCGGAGGAGTTGGCTGTCATCAGAGCACAGTGCTGCGGCGGGAGGGAGACCCTTGTCTATTTAAGCATTGCTAGTGAGCACACGCGCCCGTGAGGGACAAACGCCAACAAGCCAAGGGTTCAGGAGTGACACTGGAGCCCCATCTATCCTCCCGGAGTGAAGTGCAGTGGGCTGGGTCTGAGAGCAGCTGCCCCCAGTGCTGGCTGGGGGCTCTCCAAGGTCCCTAACCCCGAAGCTCTCCGGGTCCTGGGCGCCGCGGGTATATGCTGCTTTGCTGCGGAGCCCGCGGCCCTGGGCTCTCCTGCCCCTCCCATTCCTCTGTGGCCCAGGTGCCGCGGTGACCTCGGCTTTGGACCATCTATGTCAGGGTGCCTGGGCTGCACGGCTTGGCTCATGGACAAGGAGGTGACCCACATGGGTCCCATTAGAGCATGTCCCAGGATTTGCAGAGGACTACCCTACAAGCCATATATATTCCGTCCTGCTGGATTTGAGTCAGTTCTGAGGCAACTGTCCTGTCCCCATAAGGGCAGCCTCTACGAGAATGAAACCCTTACAGAAGGCAGGGTACCTGTCTGTGGTAGAGGAGGCGGGTAGAGAGAGAGGGCAAGGGGGATGGGGAGAGGAGAGAGGGAGAGAGAGAGAGAGAGAGAGAGAGAGAGAGAGACAGAATGTTCTCATAGAGCTTTTGAGGTTCTGAATAAACCCCCATAAGCTAGCCAGCCCCGACTCTAAACTTCTCAGTTGTGTCAGCCAATGTTTTTTAAACTTAGGTCAGCGTGGCTGGGAGTTCCTGTTACTTCCATCCCCTGAGAATCACAATGGACCGTGCTGCTGACATCTGAAATGCATCCCTTAGGCCTGCTGCCTCCCTGAAAGCCAGCATCCTTGGGAGGCCCCAGGTAACGTGCCTTCACATAATCTCCGCTCAGTGCAAGTGAGTTTTCCCGAGACAGGTTCCAATGTGGATGGGAGACCAGGAGCTCACGGGGCCTCCAGCTGGGGAAGGAAAGGGAGCAAACAGGAAGACGGGGGTTTCCAGGAACCTGCCCAGGTGGTTAAGATGCTTCTCCAAGGGTCCCTCGGCGCTCGCTCTGGAGGCTGCATATTGACAGCAAAACACTCTACGTACCACGTGACTGTGTTTCAACATCTGTGACTCACAGAGCAGCCCAGCAACAGCTGGCATCAGGCTGGGCATCTGTGGACTGAGATGAAACTGGCTGCAGTGAGGTTTTTCGCGTTCCCTGGAATCCTCTGTATTTACGAGGGTGATCTGATGAGTCCCAAGACCACACTGCCATTCTGGACGCTTCAGAGCATCAGAATAACTGAGCACCTCTTTGGGGACTGGTATTAGAGACCCATATTGCTTTGCACAAAAGGAATCCACTGGCTAACGTTTTTGAAAAGTCCGCGGGTGGTCTGGTGGGATTCAAGCTCTGAGCGTGTCCCCAGGACGCGCTGTCTCTGCATTGTGATTCCGGCTTCCCTGTTGGTTTTCATTCTCCGGCAAGTTCCTTCCTCAAGGTGGTACCTAGCAACGCCGGTGTGGTCCCCCAAGGATAGTGAACAAGAACTGAAAGGAAGTGCTTCTTGCGCAACAGCTCCAGCCAAAGCCACTAGAGTGCATCTCCTGGGCTGTGACTGGACACTGCATCTCTCCCTCAGCCAATGAGGGTGCCCAGAGGGATGCGATGCCTTGATTGGTCACCCTGGGTCACATGGCCACTGGAAGCTGGGTGGAGACAATACCATTCACTTTGCATGGACTTAGTGCCAGGACATGGAGGGGCTCTCTAGAGAAAATCCGGTATCGTTATCAGAAGAACGGCAGTGGAAAGCTGGAGAGAAAGCCTCAGTGACCACTGCCGGGATCGGCAGTGCTTCCTAAAAGCTGCACAACCAGGAAGAAACTGAAAACGGATGGCATACCTGCTACACCACATGCGACCAACAAAGAGGCACGCTAGAGCATAAAGGCACCGCACAACGTGACAAGCCCGAGGCTAATCAGGACTGCCCGGGGTAGCCGTGGTCTCTGGGACCCTCCTGTCTGCAGGTTCACCTTCTTAGTCTGCTAAGCGCTTTCTTGGGATCTGGACATAGAGGGGACTCGAGAAGAGATCACTGGATGGAAGGGCTTGTGACAAGTGGGCAGCAGACAGAGGAGGGAGGCGGGCTAACAGGGGTGAGATCAGAGTTCAGGCAGGTGGGGCTGGACCTCCCGTGTCCTTGTAAACACTTTCGTTTTTTTCTTTGAGATGGGACGGAAACCAGCGGTGGTTTTCCGCTGAGGCATGACATCATCAGACTTACAGTTTGGTTCCCTCCGGCTGCTGCATTGTGGGGGCGGAGGCATGTGGGCATGGGGGGTGCCGGGCAACCAGCCAGGAGGTCACTGCATTGACCTGGGGCTGGGGGTGGGGCAGGGCTGGATCCTGGATGTGTTTTGAAGGCACTGCCCACAAGATTTGCTGAAGGATTGGATGAGGGGGAGAGAGAGAGAGAGATAAGAATGAGCCAAGATGTTGGCCTGAGCCAGTGTAGATGCATCTGCCGGGTGCACACGTGAAGCAGCTGAGTCAGAGGTCGGGCGGTGTGTCAGGTGACGCGTGCCTGCTCTGCTGTCCCCTCACCTCTGCCTTCTCCCCCAGCAACGTCAGGACAGGCACGCTGCCCCAGCATGCGGCCCTGAGGTCTTGAGCAGGACCTCGCGCTGGGCGGAGAGTCATGGGTGGCTGCCCTCTGCCCCCCGGTGGGGGACACGCTCCTTGCTGGCTCTGGTCAGAGCGGCAGGGAGGCTGTGCTCTGAGGACACCTGGCTCCGTGAGGCCAGGAGGGAGTGGCACTGTACCTCCCCTGGCCTCTCCAGCTCCGGGCACCTGCTCGGAGGACCAGCTGGGCCGCATCTGCCGCTGCAGCTCTGACTCTGGGGTGGGTGGTGGCCCAGTGACAAACCCCCACCCCCTGCTGACGGGAAGCCAGCTATGAAGCACCTGCCGGAGTCAGACTTGGAGCTCCCCCAGCCCGGCGGGTGTCTCAGGTGCCTGTTTTCAATCATTTTTGCATTCGATTTGGAAAGAGTTAAAGAAGAGACCGGATGAGAGCAGCTCGCCGTGTCCCTAACTCACAGACAAGTCTGCGGTTGGCCAGGTGAACGGAGGAGGGTTTCTTCTCTCTCCCCATGGCCAGTGTCAGTGTCGTCAGGCAGAGCTCGGCGTCACAGTACACGTCACACCCCCACTGCCATTACACCATCGCTCGGTGCTATGAAGTCATCCCAGAGAATGGCCGCTACCCATCAATCAAGGTCCTGGCGCCCCCTGCGCTCCCCCCACACACCCCGAGCCTGGTGGGTCTGGAAACCTCGATCAGGGTGCCGGGCCCTGCATCCCACCACGACCTCCCCCTGTGCTGGGAAGACGCCAAAAGCATCTGGCAAACACACAAGGTCAGGAGCTCCCCAGGCCGGACTCCTCCTCCGGGAAGTTTCCATCCTGCTCTATTTCCATCTCCTGATACGAGAAGCAGGTGGGAGGGGAGGGAGCCCAGGGGACCCACAGGCCCCAGCTGGCGATGAACACCGATGCTGATGGGACCGGGAGGGCAGGGTCCACTTGCCTTGATGACGTCTTCATCGGATGAGCTGCACTGCACAGACGTGAGCAGGTCTGTCACCGTGCCGTCCTCCTCCACAGAGACCACCTTCACCGGCACGGCCACCGTCTCCCCAGTGAGGATGGCGGTGTTCAGGATCTCTGCCTCCTGGAAGAGGAAACACAGCCTCCGTCAGGTCCGCCCATGTGCAGGCTGCCCTGCCCACCCTCCCCGCACGAAGAAAGCCTGTCCTTCCGCACCAGCCGAGGGGCCACGCGGCCAAGAGGTGACGCTGGCATCACACAGACTCCCGGCGGACAGTATGGTGGGGACGGGTGTCATATGTGGATGGTGCCGCAACTGACCACCGTTAATATCGTGTCTGACAAAGCTATGGGCTGGGGCTGCTCTGTGTGCCTCTCAGACACGACCACGCCTGTCTCAGCATCCCTCCAGGCATCAGTAGCCTCTCGTTCTGCAGATCGCACAGAGAGGTGTTGTAACATGCCCAAAGTCACACAAATCCTGGGTCCACGCGCTAGCCGTTCCGATAGGTCTAAACTCACACAAAACGATCCCAACTTGAATAGTCATGTGTTGGCCAGAGGAGCGAGATGCCATGAGAGGGGCCTGGATTGGTGGCACCCCCTGTGTCGCGTGTGGGGGGACCTGCGGGGCCAGGATACCCTCACTCTCTGCACTCTTTCGCTTCCTGCCCAATTTCCCAAGGTCTCGCCAGCTCCTGGCCTCTGTGCAGGTCTGGAATGCTACGAACGGCTGCAGTGACACTCTCACACCCTTAGCAGTGTGACACACACACGTGCACAGTGCACACACCCACACACTCATTTTCCTGCACAGCTCAGCTCAGAACGCCTGTGCGTCGGATATCCCAGCTGGCCAGCTCTGCTCTCTGCCTTTGGAGCTGAGTGCACCCAGCCTAGGAAAGGAAGGCACGGAGTTTCCTTTACAGCACCTGTCACAGTTGGGATTTTAGTGTCGCTTACTGCTACTCCATCCCTTCATCCCCTCTAGGCTGCAAGCTCCCTGGGGCTGTGTCTGCTTCTGCTCCAAGCCAGTGACAACAACTGATCCATCCGTGTCAAAGCCAACCAGGGAGGGGACGGCACCCACACCGTCACCTCCCAGTTCTCCAGCTGCCGGACGCGATGCGCTGACCCCTTCTCGGCTCCCAGGCGCCTTGGGCCGCAGTCCCGGACCTTCAGCGTCAGGTCTCTCTCTGCACCCCCACCCGCCAGGCCTTCTTCAGCTTCTCTCACAGGATCCTTGCGGTTCCTGAGCTGGGGGTGGGGGCTGTGAGGTCATATGAGCCCATTTTTCAGATGGAGAAAACTGAGTCCCAAGACCCAGGAAGTGGGTCTCATCCCTCTGTGTGGGGATTGTCTCCTCTGACCACATGGAGATCGGAGCCCTGATACAACTGTCTGGGTAACAGACCTCTGTGCTCTAGCCCAGGACACCAACGGCTCAATTCCCACTCACCACAGGCCGGCCATGGCCCCGGGAGGCATGTGTCTGCACACAGGCGAGTTCTCCCGGGAGTCTGACCGTGTCTGGCCCGTCCCTGGTAGAGCACCAGCAAAACCCCTGGGTGGGCGCTGGGAGCTTCCCAGGTCTCTCCGCGAGCAGGAGGCTTGCTGAGAGGCTCCTAATGTGATTTCCATGAGAAATCACAAACCCGCTCAAGAAGTTTACCATCCTAAAATTACATAACTGTTTCCCTTATGTTAACTGTGCATGTCTTATGTAAGACCTTAGTGCTCCTTTATAGGACTAGGTTCCTGGGTAATTAGCTCGTCTGCTTAGCCTTTGGGGACGGGAATGCATTTCCCCCCTTATTTCAATCCCGAAAGACAAGGCTCCTGTTCTGAATGTACTTGAATTTCAAAGAGCATGCCTCGTATTCAGACCATGTCTGAATATGCATAGGCCTCCGGAAGCCCCATCGCCTATGCTCTTGTTCTAATTCTTTTCTCCTCCGTGGCTTCCCGGCCTGATTCCATTTTATTTTGGCTGCACACACAGTGATGAAGGGGCGAAGTCGGAGCGGAACGTGGGGCTGCTTCCTGCCGCCTCCAGGGGGAAAAAGTCATGGGGGTTCCCTGCTTTAGGCAGAGGATGGGGATCAACAGGACTGTTCACGCTCGGGGAGGGAGTGGGAAAACGCTCTTTTCCTCTCTGGCGCAATCTGTCTCTTCTCAAAGGGAGGACAGAAAGTGGGGGAGTAGCGTTCAGACCTTTGGCACCAGCTTCAGGGGGAGTGATGACGGTGCAAGCCTGTGGTGGAAAAGTAAACAGCGTCTTGGCTCTGGCAACCACACTCCAGAGGCCTTTAGCGCATCTGCACATCTGCCTGTCACCATAAGAAGTGACGCTGAGACAGCTGTGAGCAGCTGCAGGCCCAGGTGTCTGCAGCGTTTTCTCGTCTCTGAGTGGAGCACCTGGGTCTGCCTACACAGTCTCGATGGGGGCTGGTGACCGACACATCAGAGGGGTACTTCTGTGCCCTTTCTGTGCAATTCCAGTTCTCTCAGGTCAAGAACCTTCTCTCCTGGGTAGCTTTGCTTTCTCCGGGAGGTGAATGGTGTGTGGGCGGCTTCCAAATGTCCAGACAAGAGGAGTAGCTGGTGGCTGTCCCGGCAGAGCCCCGGCTTGGGCTGAGACGTAACCTACCAGGGTGATTACTGGACCCATAAAACCCTGGAGAGCTCAGCTGCCTCCTGCCACGGGTCCTCTTATCACAGCCCCTCAGAGCCGAGGAAGCGGGCAGGACCTCTTGAGAAGGCCGGGCTCAGTCCTCACAGGTTCCTCCCCGCCCCCTTCTGTGCCGGGACGCCCTGTGCACGTTGGGAAGGCCTTCCTGGGAGTCTGACAACACAGTGGAACTGTGGCCCCCAGAGGCCAGGAGGAGGCATGGCGGGGGATAAGCTGACTGGCACCGAGGAAGGGGACAACATCGCTGTGCCGTGGTCAGGTGTGCGGGATGGGCATCTGGAACTGGCTGTCGGCTGCGACAGAACTGTGAAGTAATTTGTCATATGGAGGTCCGACGGGTTGGAACTAGAATTAGAGTGGTATTCGTGCAAAAGAATGAAACTATTGGGTCATCGGGAAAGTCATGACGCATTTTTGCATCGAAAAACATAGAAAAATACGTCATGACTTTCCCCACGACCCAACAGACTGCTATCTGTCATCATATACCACAATTAACTCAAAATGGACCAAAGATCTAAACGTAAGACCTGAAATGATTAAACTGCATAGACACATAGGTACTAAACATATGGACCTTGGGTTCAAAGAAGATTTTATAAATTTGACCTCAGTGGCAAAGCAAAAAATAAATGAGTGGGACTATATCAAGCTAAAAAGCTTCTGCACAGGAAAAGAAACCACCAACAAAACAAAGGGACAACCAACCAAATGGGAGAAGATATTTGCAAACAACACCTCTGATAAGGGGCTGATATCCAAAATATGTAAAGAACTCATACAACTCAAAACAAAAAGGTAAACAATCCAATTAAAAAATGGGCAGAGGACCTGAACAGAAACTTCTCCCAAGAAGACATACAAACGGCCAACAGATACATGAAAAAATGCTCAACATCACTATCTGTAAGGGGAATGCAAATCAAAACCACAATGAGATATCTCCTCGCACCTGTGAGAGTGGCCATCATCAACAAGACAAATAATAACAAGTGCTGGAGAGGCTGTGGAGAAAAAGGAACCCTCAAACACTGCTGGTGGGGATGTAAATTGGTGCAGCTGCTATGGAAGGCAGTGTGGCGGTTCCTCAAAAAATTAAGAATAGAATTACCATATGACCCAGCAATCCCCCTTTTGGGTATCTACCCCAAAAATCTGAAAACATTTATTCATAAAGATATATGTGCTCCGATGTTCATTGCAGCTTTATTTACAGTGGCCAAGACATGGAAACAACCAAAGTGTCCTTCAATAGATGATTGGATAAAGAAGATGTGGTGTATATATACAATGGGATACTATTCTGCCATCAGAAAAGATGAAATAGTGCCATTGCGACAACATGGATGGACCTTAAGATTATTATGCTAAGTGAAATAAGTCAGACAGAAAAAGAACCACATGACTTCACTTATATGTGGGATATAAAACTGAAAGCAACAAAAGAACAAGACAAACAAAAACTCATAGACACAGACAACAGTTCAGTGGTTACCAGAGGGTAAGGGGTGAAGGGGGTGGTAGATGAGGGTAAAGGGGATCAAATATATGGTGATGGAAGGAGAACTGACCCTGGGTGGTGAGCACACAATGTGATATATAGATGATGTATTACAGAAATGAACACTTGAAACCTATGTAATTCCACTAACCACTGTCACCCCAATAAATTTAATTTAAAAATATATATATATTTGAATTAAAAAAAAAGAAACAAGAAAAAAATAATTAGAGTGGTATTTGTTTTTTAAATCCTTATGTTTCTAGTATCCTGATATTATGCTTTGTGTCTGAGCATGGTCATTTAATCACGTTCACCCTTGAAAATTAATTTTCATACAGAGGAGAGGAAGATAATGGATGCAGGAAAACATGGCATTGCGGGGAACTTGTAAAAGGCATCGAGCGATGGCTCTGTGTATCAGAGACAGTTTGGTGCTTGGTCAGCATTCCTGACAAAACCCTGACCTTGTCTGAGGCTGCAAGATGCTCAGCTAAAATGTATATTTATTTAGTAAATAAAATGTGTTTTTTGGCTGCCCTCAATTGGTGGCACAGTTCGGGTCCATGAGCTATAAATGGAAGTCACTTGGCAAGAAGCTTCCAGAAAAGTTTGTGAAGAAAGCATATTGTGAGGTTTTGTTTATCCTTTCTTCCCGCCACCCTGCGGATGGTGCTGGAGTTGGGGCTGTAGCTTGCACCCCAAAGCGAAGCGTCTGCATTAAAGCCACATGTTCAGTGTAGTATTGTGGTGAGAGCCTCTGGCAGATGCTGGGTTCAAACCCCACCTCTGACACTACCCCTGGGTGAGCCCGGCGGCTTCTGTAACTCTTGGTGCCTACTTCGGGTCACCTGTAAAGTGAGGGTGATCGCAGGGTCACCTCCGTGTTCGCCCAGCTTCAGGTGAGTTGGTAACTGCAGATGTTCATGGC